CCCCCCCATCAAAGTCCATCTGCCACACTCTTCAAGATTCCGTCTAAGCATCATCTTCTTTTCTGATCAGCTGAGAAAAGCCATAATGATACTAACATTGTTAAAGCACCAAGGACTGAGGGCAAAGTGCAAACCCCCTGCTGGATCAGAGGCCAGGCTTCTCCAGCAGCTCAGCTGGAGCTCTGCCCTGGAGAAGTGTGTAGAAGGAAAGAACGACAGCCCTCATTTCATCTCCCCATTCTGCTCTTCCTCCAGCTCAGTTTTCTATCACAACACAAATAGGGTTGGGATCCCCTTGGTCACACGTGTGTTCTCAATTTATTTAAAGATTTGTTTTATTTTTTAATAGTGTGTGTGTGTGTGTGTGTGTGTGTGTGCGCGCGCACACACACACACACACACACACACAAATGCAGGTGCCCTTGGAAACTAGAAGAGGGTTCAGAAGTTACAGGGGGCCGTGAGCCACCCAAAGTGGATACTGGTAACCAAACATAGTTCTCTTCAAGAGTAGTACTCTGTCTTGATGGCTGAGCCATCTCTTGAGCCCCACAAGTTCTCTCAGTAGATACTGAGCCCATTATAGGCAGCAGTTGTCTTCATCATCTCTGTGTTCCCAGGATATTACTTAAAACCCAGCACATAGTAGGTACGCAGGATAAATGAGTATACCTTGAATTCTCTCTACAAATTTGCACTGTCCCTTTCTCTAAAACAACACTCAAGATTTGCTAACTGAAAGAAAAAGATTGTGATTCAGGAATTCCTTGGACATCGAAGCCTGACTGAGCATCATTTTTTATGTACCAGACATTTTCCAGGCACTGGAGAACTGTGGGTCCATGCCCAAGTTAATAAAGAATGACCACAGTTACTCAACCCCCTCACATGCATGGACACGCACACCACCGTTTTCATTTGATAACCACTGTCCCTGGAATCCATAGTGCCCAGTGCCTGGTCTGCAGTCAAACATGACAACCCTGTGTCTAAATGAGAGACAGGTCCAGAAGGCCCTGTTTTATCTTCAAACAACATAGAAACTCAATGAGTCTGTCAATGGTCTGTTGCTGGGACCATTGGAAATCCAGCAAGCCCCAACTAGGGAAGATGTGGTATTTATTTCATGGCCTCTGTGTGCTCTCTGGACCTGGGGCTCTCCTCCTCATATACTGTTCTCCAGTTATTACTAGTATAATTTTGGTTTTATAAATATGTGAATCTTGTCTCTCAACTTAACCCTAAGTTCCTCACAGAAAGGGGACATCATGGTGTCACATCAAGTCATATAGTCACGTTCTTGGACGGCGTCTCCTCTGTGAAAGGTAACTTCCATTGTCAGCTTGATTGCATTAAGAAGCCCATAGGGAGTTAAGGAGGACACACCGTGGGTGTGTCTGTGAGGATAAGTGAGGGAGGAAGACCCGCCCTGAATGGGAGTGGAGCCATCCATGGGCTGTTGTCGAGGACTAGATAAGGAAGAATAAAAGGAGAAGCCAGGCATTGTGACACACACCTTTACTCCCAGAACTTGGGGAAGGAGAGGCAGACAAATCTGTGAGGTCAAAAGCCAGCCGGGTAGGGCTACATACTAGGTCCCAGGCCAGCTGGGGTACACAGAAAGTTCTGGTCTAGTAAAAAAAAAAAAAAAAAAAAAAAAAAAAAAAAAAAAAAAAGTCAACTGAGGAAGCCAGTTGAGTGCCAGCCTCCATCTGCATGCTTTCCGGTCTGCTGAGCTGTGAGCGGGCTTCCTCATGATCCTGCCATCACAGATAAGCTGGTCTCACCACCACACTTTCCCTGCTATGGTGATGTATGTTCCCTCAAACTGTGAGCCAAAATAAATCCTTCCTTCAGTCATTGAATTTTTTTTTATGTGTTTTATCGCAACAGCAAGAAAGTAATCACCTGACCACCTCAGCCCCTGGTACAGCACAGTGCATGCTGGAGTGAGGGAATGACAGCTGCCACCACGCAGAGTGTTTATCCCAATGTCTCTTTCTGAGACATAAGCAAGAAGTCTGATGTGAATGGTTTCTCACATGCTTCTGGCAAAGGATTGAGGACTCTGTTCCAAGTCAAGTGCTACCCTCGGGTTCTGGGAATCCTGAGACAAAATTGGGAAGAGGTGGATTTGAGACTATCTACCGGCCTCCAGCTTTCATGTAGATGTTTCTTTTTTTTTAAAAAAAAACATAAAAAAAAAACCTTTTGAATTATGTATATGTGTGTGTCTGGGTGTGGGTATGTGCATGTGAGTGCAGTAACTACCAAGGCCAGGAGAGGGCGCAGATATCCTAGATAATGGAGTTACAGGCTGTTGTGAGCCCCCTGATGATAGTGTTGGGAATGGAGTTCAGGTCATCTGCAAGAGCAGGAGGAACTCTTAACCGCTGAGCCATCTCTGCAGCCCACGTGGGAGCCTCTTTACTGGCTATTTATAGCCTGTTACTGCTGTGAGCTTGGAGTGGGTGAGGTGTGCTTCAGGGTTTCCCGAGTTATATGTGAGCTGGTGGTGGGAAGAGGGTGTTGCTTGTCCCTTCTATCCTTCTGCTCTGGTTCCCAGCATGCCTCTGGCACAGCTCATTCCTTTTCCAGAACAGACCTGCCAGGAGGCCAGGAGTTTCCTGAGAGGCAATGCTGTAGGGCCTTGGTTCCCATCCATGGGACTGTCCGGTCTGTCTTCTCTCTTGAGTTTGCTTTGTAGCCCCGCTGGCTGAGGAGGCTGCTTGTGTTTGCTGGATGACAACACCAGGGCCATCTGTAACCCACATCAACCCTGATGCTTTGAAGTTCAATGTGTAATAAAAAGTTCATTAGAAGATGCAGGGTCATGAAAATGACGTTACAGAAATATTAACAAAGGACCATTTCCTGCTTCTGGTATGCTTCCCTTTTTTTTTTTTTATTTCTGTGAAGAATTTATGTCACCATTTAAACCATGGGGAAATTAAGGAAAGGGCCTCCTGGGCCACAGAGAGGTTGACATTCCTCAGGAGATAGGTTGGCAGAAACCCAGCCTGTTGTCTTCATTGAACACTCAGGGAATAGGGGAAGAATTTAGCCAGAAAAAAAATGAGTAGAAATAGTCTATAATTCCTGTGATCAGAGGTTTGAATTCCTCACTTTCTCTTTTTGAGACAGGGCCCCACATCCGAGGCCAGCCTTGAATTTGCTATGTTCCTGAGGGTGACCTTGAATTTCTGATCCTCCTGCCTCTGTCTCCCAAATGCTGGCATGTGTCACTAGTCCTAGCTCGTGTGGTGCTGGAGATCAAACTCATTGCTTCATGCATGCTACACAAGCACTCGGTCAACGGAACTGTTTCCCCAGCCTTCAAATCCAGCGTGGGTTTTTGCTGTTTGGTTGTTTTTGTTTTTTTGTTTTTTTTGAAATAGGGCTTTACCATGTAGACCAGGCTAGCCTCAAACTCAGAGTTCCATCTGCCTCTGCCTCCTGAGCGTGGGGACTAAGGGCGTGTACCGTCTCACCTGGCCCCACGTGCATCCAGCGCTTAGAATAGAAGTTGTAGTGTAATGAGTGTTGTGACTGACTATCCTCCAGCCTCCAGGCAGTGATGGTGTTGGAGATGTCTGCAGTCCACTTGAGAGGAGGAAAGCCGAGAAGGGAGAGGAAGAGAAGGAGAAAGAAGGAAGCAAAGAGAAGGAGGGGTTCAGGGCTGGGATGGCAGATCTCTGACATTGCCTCTAGCACTACCAGTGGCTTGTCCACTGCCGCACTGGCTCACCCTCCGGTCATGCCCCGACAGGAGCAGGGGGCAAGAGCAAGGCCTCCAGGGGTGTCCTGCAAGTCCCAACGCTAGAGGTACGATCAGCCCCTGGCATGACTGGGCAACTTCCCTTTCCTCACAGACTTCTTGTCTCATGTGGCCATAGGAAGCCATTAGATGAAGTCGGAAGTTCCCTAGGGCTCAAGGCGCTGAGACTTCAGAGACCCGCTAATTGTTGACCTTGCTAAGTGGCAGGGCCAAGCTTCTCACTTCATCCATGTTATTCTTGCTGGCCCCACCTCCTTATTAAAGAACAGCCATACCGTATATACATGGTCATTTGCCAAACGGAACCACTATCAACACCTTTGCTTCCTGGCAGCCTTAGGAACACACACACACACACACACACACACACACACACACACACA